AACTTCCAAAAGTGGTCCGGAGCTGGTGTGTTTTGTACATTTTGACTTGGAAATGTGCTTCGCGCCACAACGGCGTGCAAATTTTCATCTCTCATCTGGCCAGCTGGCTCCGCACCCGCCGCTTTAGCGAGCCTACTTTTCGACCCTCCGGAGCCCCAAATCATTGGAAAAACACAGTGTTTTGCGAATTTCCTACCTTTTCACGCATCTGCATCTTCTTTCTTCTTACTCTTCTTTCTTATAATCTTTCTCTTCTCTCTGCCTCTTCCCTGCTCTGCTTTTCATCTGTCCATATTGTCGGAAGTTTGACTTCTAAACTTCCTTCGATAATGGTATATAATGGTAGGTGTGTAATGGTATATAATGGTATATAATGGTAGGTATATATGGTATGTAATGGTATATAATGGTAATGGTATATAATGGTATATTTATACAATGGTATATAGTGGTATATAGTGGTGTATAATACAATATATTGTATATATATATATGTGTGTGTTTATATGTGTATGATTGTGTATGTATGTAGATATGAAGAATGTATTACTTCTTTTCAGAACGCCGTCGTACATGAGAGCTGGGATAGCAGGGAGATGCCTGCAGCTTGATGAACCTCTTCCAGCTGACCTCAAAGCAGTTCTGGTTTCTTTGAAGCCGCTGCCTTCACCGTCTTCACCGTCTTCACCGTCTTCACCGTCTTCACCGTCTTCACCTTCGTCGCCTTCGTCGCCTTCATCGCCTTCTTTGCCTTGCGTGTAGCGAACAATTTTTGAATCCGAATTGTGCCCTGGCTCCACAGGAGCTGCTTTGAGAGTCATGGTCATGGTGTGATACCACGCTGAAATGGGTAAACATGACTATACATGATTGCAACTACGATGATGAACACGAGCACCAAAATTCAGGGTGAGTGTGACAGGGTGGGAACAAGACCATTCTGACAGATGCCAGCACAGAAGCACTTGGACTTCTCGTGAGTGCTTCTTTTTATCCCGCTCGCCACCTTCTTTCAGGTTGTCTCCAAGTAGATGACTGCGTGGAGAAAAAGAAGAAGCCATGCAGTGCGGCTATCTCATAGTGGGTGTGCAGGTTTTTGTGGAACTTAACGGACAATCTTCTGATTGTTTAGCCAGCCAAGGAGCAAGACAGCCTGCATCACAGCATGTTCAAAATCTGCGCATCATCTTGGACTCTTGGATCTATCTCACCTCAGTTAAGGCCCTGTGGCAAGAACATCGCACACGGAGGCATGACGGGGGAGCAAAGATGGCCCAAGTAGAACATCGACAATACATCGACCATATGGATGGAATGCAACTATGTGATCTATGTGCGAAAAACACGAACAAATCAAATCAAACAAACTCCTCAGTAACTCCTCTCAACGTTTGTGCTGCAGTTCCATGCCTTCTTGGTGATTTCCTGTTTGACACAACGCTGGCTGTGGGGCTCTCTCATTGGTTTGTGCAACTGCAACATCTAAAATCCGGCCACTAGCTTGAGACATTTTGCACTTTATTTTTGCACCGTGTCTGTCAGAAGCATAGCAAAGCTATGCAAAGCTATGCAAAGCTATGCAAAACTTACACGCATGGTATCGCATGGTCTCATGGCTCACCTGGCTACCTGTGGGATGAGTTGTGCCAGGGCGCGACTGCATTGCGAGGAGTTTGGCACCTGGAGAGTGACCAGGAAAACAAGGAAACCTGACCGACCTCACCTGTTGCATCCTGTTGCTCATTTGTTCATATTTTCTCGGATTTTCTCCACTTTTGGCTGCTACGCTAGGACCAGTTGTTTATTCGTGAGAGCTTGAGGTTGACTGCACTCAGGCCAGCAGCGCATCTTCTTCTGCTGCAAGCGCTCTTTCTTCTAGCACCGGTGTAGCCATTTTGGCCACAAGTGTGCTCCTGGCACGTTTGCATGGGATTCATGCTTACAGCTTATGGTTGAGCATAGTTGAGCATGCAGCGTCTTGTTACTCCTTCTTGGAACCAGACTGAATCCAACTCGATCGATTTGTACTCCTTAGGGTTGAAGGTTCCTGGGGTTCCTCTATGTTCCTCCACTCCAAATCCTGTTCGGCCTGAGCGCCAAGGCAGCCCTAGCTTTCCGACGGAACCAGGCCTGTTGACAGTTCAAGTGCGCAGAGAAACAACTTGCTGTATCTTGCTGTTATTTTTAAAGCATTTTAAAGCATTCTAAAGCATTTTAAAGAATTTTTAAAGTACTTTAGTTATTTATCGTTGGATTCACGTCATTTCACGTCCTTGAATGTGTAGATTCGGTAGATATGCACTTGACGTGGCTCTTGTGCCTTGCCATGGCAAAGTCAGCAAGAAAAGAAATGGATGCGCGAAGTTGTGTTCATCATCGAGAAAAGCATAGAAAAGCCACAATGTTGAGTTGGATTTGCAGATTTTGCAGAGTCAATGTCTGGAGGGTTTTGCATTGACTTGCTCGCTTGTCCGATGATCAAGGTGCAACTCTTTATTCTTTGCATTTGGTTGTTGCAGGCACGCGCCAGCGCCAGCGCCCTGAGAGCATTTGAGCAGGCTTGAGTCGCTTCCTTGTTGCACTATTCTTAAAGAGTCTCAGATATTCTAAGCTGCAAACATATTCTGTGCGTTTGGCGTCAGAATGCGTCTGTTAAAGGAAGCTGGAGTTCAAGCTCCTCTGGGCTTTTGGGACCCCCTGGGTCTTTCCACAAGTGGCAATGTCTCGGACTACAAACGACGCAGAGAAGTAGAACTCAAGCATGGCACCCTGGACAAGGAAATGGTTGACACATGTTGACACATGTTGACAAATGAAACCACTTTTTTGCCCTCAGAGTTTGCCCCTTTGATTTGGAATCAGAACTGACCCAACTAAGATGTGCAATAGAGGAGGCTTCCAGCGACTTTTGCCTTAACATTCATCTCTTTATGCTTGGTCTGCTGTGATTTGACATACTATGCATTTCACAAGCTGTGCTGGGTATATCAGGCAGTGTGCGTTTTGCGGCACAAATGCCACTATTTGGTACTATTTGTGTGATGTACAGATTTTGTGGATCCGAAGTATTGTTGGTTTTAACATGGGCCCCACATGTTTTAACATGTCATTGGATTGGTTTCCAGGATTCCAGGGTTCACTGAATTTACTTAGGCCGAGTAGCAATGTTTGCAACTATTGGCTATATCTTGCCTGAATATTGGCGCTTTCCGGGCTACCTGTCGAAGTTTCTGGACATCAAATTCGCAGACGTCCCCAATGGCTTGAGCGCCTTCACCAAGGTTCGGGTGGTTGGGGGGCTGGGTTCGTCACAATTACAATGGTCCTTGCAATATCTTGCAAGATCTTGCTTGTCTTGTGAGAAGCTGGTTTTGCTGAGCATCCAGCAATGTAAGAACTGAGAACGAAGGAGTATTTCTTGCATGTTGTTGCATTTGACATCGACAAAACACTCGTTGCTTGGTACTGGTACAGTGGAATCTATGCTTATATTATATATAATATTATATATATAATTATATATAGTCAAGTTAATATAGTTTGTACCACTGAGGCACTTCGGTTAGGAAATGAACCATGATTTTCCTCCAAATCACAGGTGCCCCCTCTCGGATGGCTTCAGATTGTGGGCTTCGCTGGGGTTGTAGAACTCAACATCTACAATGAGCAGGTTAATGATGAACCAGGAGACCTGCACTCATGACATTTGATATCCGGCCGAAACTGATGTGGTCATGTCAACCTCACATCATATCAGATGTGCCACCATGCGGATCATTGAATTCTTTGACACGTTGACAGAACACTTCAAACAAATGCCGAAACTGTGCAAGCCTATTTAAATTCCGGATTGATTTCGTTTCACAGTTTGATAGCAATTTCGATGTTTGTGCTTTGATGCATTTTGCACCTTCAATATCCTTCGATAATTTCATGTTTTTTTTTTGTGCTCTTGCTTTGAGCTGGAGAACAAGCAAGGATTTGGATCGGTAATTTTGGATAATTACATAGTTCCAATATGTTCCAATCACTTTTTCTTATTGGATGAGAGAGGATCAAACAGTCAACATCCAACCAATCTGTGAGGAAACTATGGTGCTTGTTTCCTTGGTCTCCGATCCATTGGCTTCATGATACTTGGTGCTAGTACTGACAGTACTCCTGTCTCTCCATTGTCAAGTTTTCCTATTCACTCCTATTCATATTCGCATGTTTCTTGAAAAGGCAAAGGCCATAAAGGCTCAGCAGACGGTCCTATGCTTTTGATGAGCCCAAGCAACCTGAGGAACAGCGGCATTGCTGATCCTGAAGTTCGTAGGAAAAAACTCAATGCCGAACTTGCAAATGGAAGATTGGCCATGTTTGCAATCATCGGAATGTTTTTCCAGGAGCCATGGATTTGCATGGAGATATTTGGAGGTTTCCTTAAGATGGGGGTACCCCCAAATCATCCCAAATTGGACTATTTATTGAAACCCATGGTTTTGGGGATCCCCTATTTAAAGAAGAAACATTTCAAGTAATAAGCTGATATCGCGTTCAAAAGACTGAATGAGATAAAGATGCATGTTTACGCCAACTTACATTGTCTCTGCAGCCTGGCTGCCCAGGATGGTCTCACAGGCTCGGCTTGGGGTGATTGGTCTTTGTACACTGATTCACCTCTTCGAGCATTCGAAGAAGAGTTGGGTGTTCAGGCGCCTGTCGGATTTTGGGATCCCGTCGGATACACTCGCGATGGAGATTTGGAGACATTCAAGCGACGACGAGAGACAGAGATCAAGCACGGCCGTGTGGCCATGTACGTACCCAGGATGTAATTTGCAAAGAAGCCTCCTTTTCTATTTAGATCTAAGTAGTGGAGTAGTGGATTTTGACCTTATTTGATGTGATCACATTTGTTTGCACAGTCTTTGATGTTGTTCGTTCTCCGTGTGTAGATTTATTGACATGCTAAGATATTTATAGATGTTTTACGACATTGATGATGATCTGTGAATGCATGCGAATATTATTTACATAATTGTATGCATTAAGACCATTTATCTTGTACTTGTTGATCTTATTTCTATCCTATTCTATGTTTTTGGCCTGTTGGTTCTGTGTGTTTTTCAATTGTGTCCTTCAATCGTTTACATCATTTCAAATATTTCATGCTTTTGGTTTCCGTGTTTGCTTTCTCAACTTTGTGGCATTCAGATCAACTTTCACCGATTGATCTAGAATGTGCTCGGCCCTGCTTGATAAAGCTACCATTGGATATATCGTGCCCGAATACTTCAAGTGGCCGGGATTTTTGTCCCCTTCTATGGGCTTGAAGTTTTCAGATGTGCCCAATGGATTGGCTGCCATCGGCAAGGTCCCTGGAAACGGTTGGGCTCAGATTGTTGCCTTCGCAGGCTATTATGAGCTCTTCGTCTACAAATACAATGGAGTGCCAGGTGAGTATGGCTGGAAGGCAATCTCTTCTGCTGATCCAGAAGTGCGCAAGCGAAAGCTCAGCGCCGAACTTGCCAATGGAAGATTAGTTTCTCGAAATTCAACAGTTTAGCTGTGCATTTTGCATTTTTTAAACTCAGTATATTATTATATTATATATATAATATATATATATAATATATATATATATCATATATATATATATGATATTGTATTATATATATTTGTGTGTCCTGATTCTGAGAGGTATCTGCAACTTCAACAAGTTGACAGATGTTCGGAGTCTTATTTTCTATCGCTGATTAATGTTGGATTATCCATGAATGTCTGTGTAGCTATGTATGCTTTTCGCGGTTCTGTGCGAAGCGATTTAAAGAACATCTAGCGGCTGTAGCGTACAATTGCAGTCTGGCGACGTTCGGATTGAAGCAGCCAAGGCTATGATGGCCATCATCGGAATGTTCTTTCAGGTACTGCTTGTGCAAGTGTTATTCACTTGAAATCTGATTGGAACCTAAGATTCTTCTAATCCATTATCCATTCTAAATCCCGAAGTCCATCTTCACCCCCTGCTAGGATGGTCTCACAGGCTCGGCTTGGGGTGATTGGTCTTTGTACACTGATTCACCTCTTCGAGCATTCGAAGAAGAGTTGGGTGTTCAGGCGCCTGTCGGATTTTGGGATCCCGTCGGATACACTCGCGATGGAGATTTGGAGACATTCAAGCGACGACGAGAGACAGAGATCAAGCACGGCCGTGTGGCCATGTACGTACCCAGGATGTAATTTGCAAAGAAGCCTCCTTTTCTATTTAGATCTAAGTAGTGGAGTAGTGGATTTTGACCTTATTTGATGTGATCACATTTGTTTGCACAGTCTTTGATGTTGTTCGTTCTCCGTGTGTAGATTTATTGACATGCTAAGATATTTATAGATGTTTTACGACATTGATGATGATCTGTGAATGCATGCGAATATTATTTACATAATTGTATGCATTAAGACCATTTATCTTGTACTTGTTGATCTTATTTCTATCCTATTCTATGTTTTTGGCCTGTTGGTTCTGTGTGTTTTTCAATTGTGTCCTTCAATCGTTTACATCATTTCAAATATTTCATGCTTTTGGTTTCCGTGTTTGCTTTCTCAACTTTGTGGCATTCAGATCAACTTTCACCGATTGATCTAGAATGTGCTCGGCCCTGCTTGATAAAGCTACCATTGGATATATCGTGCCCGAATACTTCAAGTGGCCGGGATTTTTGTCCCCTTCTATGGGCTTGAAGTTTTCAGATGTGCCCAATGGATTGGCTGCCATCGGCAAGGTCCCTGGAAACGGTTGGGCTCAGATTGTTGCCTTCGCAGGCTATTATGAGCTCTTCGTCTACAAATACAATGGAGTGCCAGGTGAGTATGGCTGGAAGGCAATCTCTTCTGCTGATCCAGAAGTGCGCAAGCGAAAGCTCAGCGCCGAACTTGCCAATGGAAGATTAGTTTCTCGAAATTCAACAGTTTAGCTGTGCATTTTGCATTTTTTAAACTCAGTATATTATTATATTATATATATAATATATATATAATATATATATATATATCATATATATATATGATATTGTATTATATATATTTGTGTGTCCTGATTCTGAGAGGTATCTGCAACTTCAACAAGTTGACAGATGTTCGGAGTCTTACTTTCTATCGCTGATTAATGTTGGATTATCCATGAATGTCTGTGTAGCTATGTATGCTTTTCGCGGTTCTGTGCGAAGCGATTTAAAGAACATCTAGCGGCTGTAGCGTACAATTGCAGTCTGGCGACGTTCGGATTGAAGCAGCCAAGGCTATGATGGCCATCATCGGAATGTTCTTTCAGGTACTGCTTGTGCAAGTGTTATTCACTTGAAATCTGATTGGAATCTAAGATTCTTCTAATCCATTATCCATTCTAAATCCCGAAGTCCATCTTCACCCCCTGCTAGGATGGTCTCACAGGCTCGGCTTGGGGTGATTGGTCTTTGTACACTGATTCACCTCTTCGAGCATTCGAAGAAGAGTTGGGTGTTCAGGCGCCTGTCGGATTTTGGGATCCCGTCGGATACACTCGCGATGGAGATTTGGAGACATTCAAGCGACGACGAGAGACCGAGATCAAGCACGGCCGTGTGGCCATGTACGTACCCAGGATGTAATTTGCAAAGAAGCCTCCTTTTCTATTTAGATCTAAGTAGTGGAGTAGTGGATTTTGACTTTATTTGATGTGATCACATAAATAAGACTGGAAATCAAATTCAATTGGAATTAAATCTGAATGTAATTCCCCCTCTCAGGCTACCGGACTGTTGGCCACGTACTGAAGGAATTTAATTTGAATTTAATTCTTTGGCTTTGCTGTGTTCTGGTGCCTGATCCTTAATTCTTTTTCTATACTTGTTGCTGAGAGATGTCGGACCAAGAAGTTCGCCGTGGTCGGAAACGGAAGCCATGGGCGCATGTGGCGACGGAATCCTTTTTGGAGACAGAGACGTTGCGTAAGGGTGTGCAAAGATGGCTTCGTGAAAAGAATATTAAGCACAGCACTCTGACCGCGACTACTTTTGAAGGCGTTGGTCGATTTCTGTTTTCCGGGGGCAGGTTGGTGCACCTATGTGCGGGGGTCCGCTTTTTGAGATTTTGGCGGTAGGTGGGGTCGAATTTGCGGACCCCCGCGGATCGAGATCCGGCAGGTTGCATTTTTGGAGGAAGTTTGTGCTAACGTTCTTGACAAGTGGATCACTCAGTGGATGCTAGGTTGGGGTGGGGCAGTGTTAACCTTTCGGGCACGTTGATCACGCAGTGGATGCTACGTTGGGGTTGGGGTGGGGTGGGGCGGGGCTTCCGGACACGTTAACAGTATATGGGTGAAAATTATGTGCAAGAAGAGTTTCTGGGTGAAGAGTCTCTGGGTGAAAAGTATATGGGTGAAAAGTATGTGCAAGAAGAGTTTCTGGGTGAAGAGTCTCTGGGTGAAAAGTATATGGGTGAAAAGTATGTGCAAGAAAAGCCTCTGGGTGAAAAGTATATGAGTGAAAAGTATATTTGTGAAAAGTATGTGCAAGAAGAGTTTCTGGGTGAAGAGTCTCTGGGTGAAAATATGTAGGCGAAAAGTATTTGTAAGAAGAGTTTCTGGGTGAAGAGTCTCTGTGTGAAAAGTATATGGGTGAAAAGTATGTGCAAGAAGAGTTTCTTGGTGAAGAGTCTATGGGTGAAAATATGTGGGTGAAAAGTATTTGTAAGAAGAGTTTCTGGGTGAAGAGTCCCTGGGTGAAAAAATGTGGGTGAAAAGTATTTGTAAGAAGAGTTTCTGGGTGAAGAGTCTTTGGGTGAAATGTTTATGGGTGAAAAGTATGTGAAAGAAGAGTTTCTGGGTGAAAAGCATGTGCAATAAGAGTTTCTGGGTGAAGAGTCTATGGGTGAAAAGTATATGGGTCTCTGTCTGACTGTCTGTCTGTCTGTCTGCCTGCCTGCCTGCCTGTCTGTCTGTCTGTCTTCATAAATCTCTGTGTGTCAGTGTCTGTCCGTGTTTCTCTTTGTCTTGGACTCTTTCTGCCAATCTGTCTGTCTTTCTGTTTCTCTGTTTGTCTGTCTGTTTGCTTGGCTGGCTGCTTGGCTCTTTGTCTTTGTGTTTGTCTTCTATCTACCGGTTTGCTTCGCTGCCTGTCTGTCCGTCTGCTTAGCTAGCCAGCTGTCAGCTGGCTGTCTCTCTGTGTTCCTGCCTCGCTGTCTGTGCTGTCAATGTGCATTATCGGGGGTCCTAAATTCCCGTTCGAGAGCCCGAGTTCCGCAAGAAAAGCGGACCCCCGCGCAAGTTCGTATGTTGATTTTTGTAGGCTGCACCGGATGGATCCAGTGAGAGAGACTTGCTTCGGTCAGAACAATCACTTGGCTTGCTTTGCAGGCACGGGAAAATCTTCGATCTGCTTTTTTGGCGCTTTGGAACCCTTTGGCTGGCCAAAAAGAAGTCCGCAGCACGTTCCAGACAATGCAGTTCATGACAAGAATTAAATTTGAATTTAATTCCTGCTTGAAGGTCAAATGAAGAACAGACACGTTGGAATTAAATTCAAATTGAATTCTTCTTTACATTCGATTCCAAGCTTCTTTTGAATCCGATTTTCATGCTCATCCGTGATCACATTTGTTTGCACAGTCTTTGATGTTGTTCGTTCTCCGTGTGTAGATTGATTGACATGATAAGATATTTATAGATGTTTTACGACATTGATGATGATCTGTGAATGCATGCGAATATTATTTACATAATTGTATGCATTAAGACCATTTATCTTGTACTTGTTGATCTTATTTCTATCCTATGTTTTTGGCCTGTTGGTTCTGTGTGTTTTTCAATTGTGTCCTTCAATCGTTTACATCATTTCAAATATTTCATGCTTTTGGTTTCCGTGTTTGCTTTCTCAACTTTGTGGCATTCAGATCAACTTTCACCGATTGATCTAGAATGTGCTCGGCCCTGCTTGATAAGGCTACCATTGGATATATCGTGCCCGAATACATCAAGTGGCCGGGATTTTTGTCCCCTTCTATGGGCTTGAAGTTTTCAGATGTGCCCAATGGATTGGCTGCCATCGGCAAGGTCCCTGGAAACGGTTGGGCTCAGATTGTTGCCTTCGCAGGCTATTATGAGCTCTTCGTCTACAAATACAATGGAGTGCCAGGTGAGTATGGCTGGAAGGCAATCTCTTCTGCTGATCCAGAAGTGCGCAAGCGAAAACTCAGCGCCGAACTTGCCAATGGAAGATTAGTTTCTCGAAATTCAACAGTTTAGCTGTGCATTTTGCATTTTTTAAACTCAGTATATTATTATATATTACATATATTATATATTTATATATATATATATATCATATATATATATCATATATATATATCATATGTATATACTTATATATCATATATATATCATATATATATATATATCGTATGTATATACTTATATATCATATATATATATCATATATATATCACATATATATAACTATGATATATATATATATGATATATATATGATATATATATATGATATATATATATCATATATATATATATATCATATATATATATATATCTCATATATATATATATCATTTATATAATATATATATATCATATAATATATATATGATATATATATATATCGTATATATATATATATCATATATTTATATCATATAATATATATATGATATATATATATATATATCTTATATATATATATATCATATATTTATATCATATATATATATATGATATGTATATATATATTTATCATATATATATACATATTATATTGTATTATATATAAATATTTGGGTCCTGATTCTGAGAGGTATCTGCAACTTCAACAAGTTGACAGATGATCGGAGTTTTACTTTCTATCGCTGATTAATGTCGGATTATCCATGAATGTCTGTGTAGCTATGTATGCTTTTCGCGGTTCTGTGCGAAGCGATTTAAAGAACATCTAGCGGCTGTAGCGTACAATTGCAGTCTGGCGACGTTCGGATTGAAGCAGCCAAGGCTATGATGGCCATCATCGGAATGTTCTTTCAGGTACTGCTTGTGCAAGTGTTATTCACTTGAAATCTGATTGGAATCTAAGATTCTTCTAATCCATTATCCATTCTAAATCCCGAAGTCCATCTTCACCCCCTGCTAGGATGGTCTCACAGGCTCGGCTTGGGGTGATTGGTCTTTGTACACTGATTCACCTCTTCGAGCATTCGAAGAAGAGTTGGGTGTTCAGGCGCCTGTCGGATTTTGGGATCCCGTCGGATACACTCGCGATGGAGATTTGGAGACATTCAAGCGACGACGAGAGACAGAGATCAAGCACGGCCGTGTGGCCATGTACGTACCCAGGATGTAATTTGCAAAGAAGCCTCCTTTTCTATTTAGATCTAAGTAGTGGAGTAGTGGATTTTGACTTTATTTGATGTGATCACATTTGTTTGCACAGTCTTTGATGTTGTTCGTTCTCCGTGTGTAGATTGATTGACATGATAAGATATTTATAGATGTTTTACGACATTGATGATGATCTGTGAATGCATGCGAATATTATTCACATAATTGCATGCATTAAGACCATTCATCTTGTACTTGTTGATCTTATTCTATCCTATGTTTTTGGCCTGTTGGTTCTGTGTGTTTTTCAATTGTGTCCTTCAATCGTTTACATCATTTCAAATATTTCATGCTTTTGGTTTCCGTGTTTGCTTTCTCAACTTTGTGGCATTCAGATCAACTTTCACCGATTGATCTAGAATGTGCTCGGCCCTGCTTGATAAGGCTACCATTGGATATATCGTGCCCGAATACATCAAGTGGCCGGGGTTTTTGTCCCCTTCTATGGGCTTGAAGTTTTCAGATGTGCCCAATGGATTGGCTGCCATCGGCAAGGTCCCTGGAAACGGTTGGGCTCAGATTGTTGCCTTCGCAGGCTATTATGAGCTCTTCGTCTACAAATACAATGGAGTGCCAGGTGAGTATGGCTGGAAGGCAATCTCTTCTGCTGATCCAGAAGTGCGCAAGCGAAAGCTCAGCGCCGAACTTGCCAATGGAAGATTAGTTTCTTTTTTGCAGATTGCTTGCTTTCCCTGCTGTGTGTATGGCACCTGTTGTCGCTGAACCTGATTGCTTTTCTTATGGGATTTTATGAGTAATTAGTCCCCATTCTTGCAACATGTTCAGCTTCCATTCAATGATGGAAGAGACAATTTCAAGTCTTGCTGATTTTGCTTGTCGGATCTTGTCGGTCTATCTGCCCAATTATCGATCTGCAAGTATTTGTTCAATCCACTAAGATTACTCTGACTTGCTGTAATCTACTCCAATCGAACTTACTCTGCTTTGCTCTAATCCAATACAATCCAATCCAATCTTCCATCCATCCCTTGTTCGATATATCGACTTTGTATTTTTTGGTTTTTCTATCTACTTATTGTACACATGTGGATAGATATGGATAGATTATAATTGAGATTGAGTGGCTCTTTCCTCAAGGCTATGATGGCTATCATTGGGATGTTCTTCCAGGTGCGAAACCGACAGTCTGGTGTGATGTTCTTGAGAAAAGCGTGCTCAAATCATCTCAAATCGGTGTGACGCAAGGACTCGACTCGACATTTCCCGCAATTCTCAGATACAAAACTCGACCTTGGACCACCTTGGACCACATGACCTCACAAGAATTATGAAGAAGCGATAAAGGTGAGGCTCAAAGTGATGAGGCTCAAAGTAGAGCATCGTTCAAAGAGCAATACGTTTTGCATCGTATGGTTCTTGCATTTACTCGATAAACTGCGTAATGAGTATGCTGGCGATCTTATAGCATCAAGACTTATCAAAACTCATCAAGACTGGTCCAGAGTCATCAGATCATCTTATTCTGATCATCCTGTTCTCTGCTTCCAGGACGGCCTTACTGGCTCTGCATGGGGCGATTGGTCCCTGTACACTGACTCGCCTTTGCGATGAATGCCAGATACCGATCCAAGCCAGTGCCCAAAGCATTGCCTGGCTGAGTGGCCCGTGTTATGACTTGCAAAGCAAGACAAATTAGACAGTTTTTGGGATCCAGCTAGATCGGATAGAAATCTTGCAACTCGGAGAGATTATTCAAGATATTCAAGAGACCTCAAGAGAAGAGAATCTGCGCGGTAAGCGTTATTTAAAGACTACACTGCACCGGAGTTCTGCAAAGTGGCCATTTGTTCAAGCCAAAAGGAGAGCACTCTCACATTGATTCCATGTGGCACTAACCTCCCTTGGAGCAATTGGTGCCTTTAGTGATCCTTGATCTTTGATGTAGTTGTGAAGAGCCGTGCGAATGCAAACAGCAAAAACATGCGCACACAACCAACTTGGGATTTTGTGTCAAGTACACTCATCATACACATCTGGGCGTTTGCTTGCCCCGAACCAATGTCTTTGTCGCCTTCAAGAGGCCACTGACTGAAAGTCGTGGAAAGCCGACATATCAATACCATATCATAATATATCATATCTAATCCATACATCGAAGTATACTTGAATTATACATTGGAGACTCGCATTGGAAACTAGTATGAAGTCTGTAAGGATCCGGAGGAATCTCTAGAGCAGATGGAGTCCAGTTCGTTGACGAAGCAGTCATTCACCAGCACAACTGGTTTGCACGTAGATTTGCAATGATTTGCATGCCAGTGTATGCTTCTAGAAGCAAACACACAGACATACAGTATGTCCAAGAAAGGACACATAAGGACACTAAGCATGTAATCTTTAAGTACACACATAATGCGAAAAGACAAACACGTGTGTATATGTAATATATGTGTATATGATTATGCAATATATGAATGTGTGTATATATATATGAGATATTATATACAATGTGCACCCACATACATATAGGCACATGTGCTCCTGAGACCAGCTTCAAACAGGACCATATCGCAGATCCAGCAGCAAGGAAATTTCGTACAAAATCGATAATTTCATTGGACTCCCAGACATATTCCGATGCCCAGGCAGAGATGAGCAGGTGAATTTAATCAACCGGCGATCACTGTCCTCGCAAGGGGTCCTAGAACATGGATGTGGTGCGGATGTAGGGCTTGGATTTGGGAACGTTATGGCTTTCTTCACGGTACAATGCTGAGAAAGTAGTGACAAAGCAGCGTCATGTACAATGAAAAATCCTGCTTTTGTCCTCCATCATAATTCGGCATTGCGCGAAGTTCACCGGTATATGATGAAATACAACAAGATCTGGCGCCTCTTTGTCTGGCACATGCTTTGTGAATTGTCATACGAGTATATAATCCCTTAGATACAGATTCATCTTGGACAGTTGTTCAAAGAGTATTTGGTTTATTGTCGCTGTATCATTTCGATTAGTGTCCATTCTCTGACCTGCTTTAAGTTGATCCCGTGTGCTGACTTCATGGCAATGAGCAAAACACATTTACAAAACCAGTACATTTCTCCTTCGCAGCGCAGGAAGAATTTGTCCAGTCAGGCTGGCCGCTGCTTGCGTGGGACCTGCGTGCTGCCGAAAATGCGGTTCAAAACTTTGTTGTTTTTGTTTTTCTGACCTGAAAGGTTGGCTGTCCAAATCACCAGTGCCTTCAGTTCGTTTGTTCCCATGACGAATTCTTGAAGCAGGTTCTTCCATAGCATCAGGATGTGGAGAGTGTTCTCAGTCCTCAAGTTGGATCATGGAAGTTGTGGTTTCCTGATTGATCTTATTGCTTGGTGAAAGGGGAATGCTCCTTATCAGGCTTATCATACATGTAGCTGCAATGTAGCTTGTGATCCAGGCATTTCCATGGCATTTCCATGGCATTTCCATGGCATTTCCATGGCATTTCCCTAGTTCACATCGACTCACATCGACTGTTTCGCTGAATCTATCAACCTGCAAACCATGGCTCGGCACTTCACAAAAGGCGGTTCCAGGACCTCCCCGCTAAGCCCGGCCACGTCGGCCGCGTCAGGATTCAGAGTACACCGTGGTCCGGCCGGATGCCAAGAAGATCGATCGAAGTCTGGCAGGACCTGGTCACAAAAATTCAAAAAATGCATCAGTACACTGAAGTGATTCTAAAATATTCTGAAGTGATCATCAAAGTACCATGAAGCCCAAATAGGAGTGCTGGAGGTGCCTGAGATGCTAGCATTGTTCAGTTCAGCCTGTGAAGTGTATACTCATGTATACTCCCTGTTCCAAGCAGCAGCTTCGCACTTGTGGCATTGGTACCAGCTGAGAGCTACACACTTGATCAGAAGGATGTTAGCTCGTTAGAGCTGGAATGCTTGAAACAATTTTGGTCTAGTTCCACCTATCCGGAGCTGGTGGATGAGTGTCATGCATATACTTACTTGCTTGCACACTGCATGCTGCAAGTCGCGTATAGATACATGTATATTTGAGTTTGCACAGACTCGCGACGCAATCTTTGATGGTGCAAGAGTCCTAGGTGTTGTCAGATGTTTGCAGGGGTCGGGCGCTTGAGTGTTGCCACAACTAGTCAGCCTTCACACGTTGCTTCATGTTGTTTTCTTGAACGTCTCAGAGTTTTTTTAAATGCTCTCTTCTTGGAAAGACTAGGGTCGCCAATCGAGTCATGCATGGAAAGGCTTGGAAGGCGATGTCTACCTCTGGGGACCCCCTCTCTACAACATGTAGACAATGTAGACCAGTTCTGAACTGGGTCGAGGTGTCCACCCTCGTGGTTCTTGCCTTCCTACTCCTCAAAGGATCCAATGAGTTGGCAAAGAATTTCTATGAGGCTCCGCAATGAAGATCAATTACATATAGACTTACAGTATCTTATAGTCATAGTGATACTTAGTGATGATAATTAATCTCTCCATATGTGACATATCTACATCATTTTTCGCTTCCTTTACCATGCTGTGCCTACCACCGGACCTGTCCAGTGCTTTCAATCGTTTGTTCCCAGCCGTGAATTTTTATCGTATGGTAAATGGTAGACGATTGAGAGCAACACGGATTGACATACTAAGTCCAAGTGTTTCATAGATCTTCATAGATCTTCATAGTAGAATCTCGTGGAGTCATGGAGTTCTGCCTTTTGGCAGGCTCCAGACCGAAAAGCTCAAAACTTTTTGCCGCCGCCGCCCATAGAGAGGCAACGTTTTGAATCTTCATACCCCATTGCGTTCATATTCAGCGAACAACCTGCTCACTCTGCATCGCAATGGAACCGAAGCTTCCTGCGCAGGTCTGAAGTCATTCGTGGTTACTCGATTTATTCGTGATTCACATGGTGTGTGTGTTTTCTCCTCGAATTGGAGGCAGGGAAAGAAAGAGGCACACGGCTGGGTGGTCATCCTCTCAGATGGCAGGATATTATGTGAGACCTTAAGACATATGGCGACACATATAATATAAATTTGGTTCTGGCTGCTGGCTGCCGAAATCCTAAGCGATCAAGTTGAGACCATGACGCACCCGTGTTTTGTGGTTGCTTTCCAAACGCAACTATCCTGAGAAGCCAGAAAACGCTGCAGAATTGCTGTTTCCTTTCATGCTGTCAATGCTTGATCTTGCTCACTCTATGGTTGCCATTTCTTCTAAGTACTTGTTTCGCTGTTCTAGACAGCCGCAACCTAGACGAGACCGCAGAGATACATAGTGACTTTGTAAGCATGAGACTATAATATACATCAAAAAGATAATATTATGTATACACATATACATATATAAATGTATTACATGTAGTCGAATTGATACGAATTGCCTACATTCAGTCTCCTCCAGCTCCTCAGTAGGCTCTTTTCTTCCTCCCAAGTTACCCTGTCAGTTTTACGCACCTGCACACTGGCATTGAAATGCTGCGAGTTCATATTGCAGATCATCATTGCCGACAGGCTTAGTATGTCAAACAGTATGTCCTACCCAAGATGACCCAAGGATGCGTTCTTGTTTCCCGTGCGAATGTCAATCAACCCAGTCTTCTTTTCTGAGGTAGTGGATGACGACTCGGATGACGAGAACGAGAAGAAACATTACGACAATGGCTATCGATGGAAGTGGGAAGGAGCCGCCGAGTTGATCCAAATAGACTAATACAGGATCAGCCCTCTCCCAATCCCATGTCCCTTCCCCAAAATCCTGTCTCTGAAGGCTTTCAAGGTATGTACGCTGTGCGCCCATTCTCCCACAGCCCCATGCGCCCTTGCTCGGTATATGTTTGATATTGGCTGCCGGTTTTGACCTAGATTTCCCCGTTTGATGCGTTTGATGTGGTCCGGGCTAAACGAGAGTCAACAGGGCTAAAGGGTCGCTGTTGTGTCCCGGCAAAGTCAGTCTCCTGCAGTAATCAACCGCAAGTTGCAGAACAAAATTGAGCAATGCTGGCACGATACTGGAATTGTAGAGAGCATAGTCGCTCGAGAGATGGCCAGATGCCATCGATCTTTCAGATCTTTGGCGTCAACATGTGATACATGTGCTATGAGCTGGCCCGACTAGGTTCCGAAAGCATTTGCAAGTTTATCATCCTCCTTTTGCCACAAGCAACTTTCTCGACACCAGCCTTTTAGTTGAAAGATTTGAAAGACTTGCCAGGAAGCACCCGGTATGCAGCCATCCAGGATGCGCAGCCGTGCCCCAGCGACAAGTTCATCTCGTCATGGCTTGTCATTACTTTGTCATTAGGTGTTTGGCAGGGCGAGCTGTTTGCCCCAGAAGGCTAGGGTGGTGCATACTCATCAAAGGGTCTTTTGAAACTTCTTTTGATCAAGAGCCATTTCAGGCACTCGGAACTCGGAAGCACCAAACAATTGGTGTGAATAATAACATAGCATATTTGCTTCTTAGAGTGGCTCTGCTTTATCACTTCAGCAAACTGAGGTGCTACTATGAGCCAGTGCGTGACAGCAAACCTGGGCAAGACTGTTTTTGCCAGTTGGCAGGCAACAAGGCGCACAGAGTTTTCTGTCTGCCCCGAGCTGGACCTCGGAAT